CATTTCCTCTTGTCCTGTCCCTTGGTCCTTGGTTGAACAGACCCACCCCCACCTCTCTCCACCCTCCTTCAAGGGACTTGCACAGAGCCACAAGGTCTCCCCTCAGTCTCCTTTTCATGTGAATGCCAGTGGCAAGAGGGGGCTTGGGCAAGGATCTGAGCCAAGAGAGCAGTGGTCTTGCTGAGTACATTAGGAGAGCATGGCAAGAAAGCAGGCATGGAAGCAGAAGTGCTGGGATGTCCTTATATCCTCCTTATATCTAGTCTAAATCTCCCCTCTTTTAACCTAAAACCATGACCCCTTGTCCTATCACTACAGGTCCTATTAAAAAGTTTGCCGCCGTCATTCTTATGGGACCCCTTTAAGTATTGGAAGGTTCAATAAGGTCTCCCTGGAGCCTTCTCTTCTCCAGGCTGAACAGCCCCAACTCTCTCAGCCTGTCCTCACAGCAGAGCTGCTCCAGCCTTCACATCATCCTGGTGGCCTCCTCTGGACTGGCTCCAGTAGGTCCACGTCTTTCTCGTACTGAGGGCTCCAGAGCTGGGTGCAGCACTCCAGGTGAGGTCTCCCCAGCTGTTTGCAGGAATCAGCAAAGGAAGATCTTATCATGGCTTTTAAGCTGTTTTCTTCCTCTTCTTCAGTGACCTTCCACCATGAATTATGAGATCTGACACATCTACACTGTTTTTTTGCAGCTGGAACAAGCATGCATTGTTGGCTATCACCAAACACAATAAAGCCATTTTTCTTCTCGCAGGTGGCCCACATACTGACAGTACGTGTTCCTCTGCAAGTGGACCATAGCATTACTGAGGCCAACCTGTAGCTGAAGAGTTCCTAATGGAGTCTCTGATTGACAGCCTGATGTCGGTATGACTGCACATTGTTGGTGCAAGAAGTAAGAGGCAGAAAGATTGCAGATGTTCAGAACAAACGAACCATGCACCTGTGGTCTGCTCACCCCTTTCTGCTAGTTCAGATGTTTCCTCTCATCTTCCAAGACCAAACCAGACACAAACAAGCACCACTTTTTTTTTTTGCCCTCTCTTCACAGAACCAAGAAAACTCATCCCAAAGTATCTTGCAAGCTTGGCAGCCCAAAGCAGTCCCTGGGCATGAAATAATCTTAGTGCCAGTGTTGTCTGAGCCCTTGCAAAGGAGCATGACCCAGAGCCAAGGCTGAGTCCCCTTCATGTGCAAACTGAGACAGCTGCTGCCCTCCTGGGGAGGGTAAGACAAGCTAACCCAGGATGCCCTGATGAGGATTTAATCACCCAGCCTCATCAGCCTGAAGTGTTCCTCCCTCAGCTTTTTTTGGTTTAACTCCCTCACAGATATACTTGTCCTACAGTAATTACCTGTCCAGGCAACTAAAGACGAGCAGGAACAATCCAAATGCAAGTTACCTGCACAGCAGAGCAAAATCCTGGTGTTGGGTTTCCCTGAAGACCAGCGCTCTGCCCTGCCTGCGTGAGTTGGCTTTAGGCAATATTTGGGTAAATAATTCTCCTTGGAGAAGAACAGAAAGAAATCTGCTCCTGCACTCATCAGGTGTGAAGGTTGAAGTGCAATGCCTACCCCCAGCTAAACGCAGTCCATGTTGTCTGCCCCAGGAGGACTCTCAGTCTTGGTCTCCTCCAAATCTCAGATTTACAAAGCTACTCATGACTTTCTTCTCAAAGAGCTATTGGAGGGTGATTTAAGCAGCCTGGAAATGTGTATATTTGTTTAATTATTTCTCAACATTTCCCTCATAAAACCAGTATTTAGACTTGATTTAAAAGAAAAAAAATAATCCTGAGGTTCTTCCTTGGTTATTGGCCTGTCTTTTTCTTCAGCAACATAAATCGAACACTCTTCCCTTTTTCACCGTTCCCATTAATTTTCAGAAGGCAGACCTTAATCCCAGCCCATGCTATCCTGTTCTTTTTCTTTTCATTTAGGACTCCTCGGAAGGCTGGCTCAGAGTTTTAATCAAGTGACACTTTTTCATGCTCTCACAAGCCTGCTTGTGTTTAATACAGAAAGATAAACAATGAATTAGTAGCGCTTTATCAATGTCTTCTCACCTTCTCCTGTTTTTAAAGTGGAGAACCTGTTGCTGTTGTTCTTGCCTGCTGCAGTTTGTCAGTGAATCTGCTGAAGATAATCCAGTCACCTAAATTTTGTTTGGAATGGTTACCCAGAAGAAAAGATATTGCAGTGGGCACAGATAGTCCCTGATAGGCAAAGCTTAGTCTGGTTTGCCAAGAACTATTGTCAGTAACTAAGGAGATAGGTGTCCTGGTTTTGCCAGGGTAGAGTTCATTGTCTTCTCAGTAGCTGGAAGAGCTGTGGTTTGGTTTCAGTGTGGGATTTGTTATGAGAAGAATGTTGATCAGGTACTGATGGTTTTAGTTGCTGCTGGAGCCCAAGGTCATCGTGTTTGGCTGGTTCACAGCTGCATTAGGACTGGGAGGGAGAAGTGTAGTAATTAGCAAAACCCCAAATTGGCACTTGGATGTGCCAATGAGATATTCCAGATCACATCATGGTCAGTACATTAACCAGGCCTTCAGCTGCTCCAGCAGTGTCTTCGCACACAAGCCATGTGGTGGAAGGTTCTGCAGAAGGCACTGTCATCATGTGCCAAGTCACTGGCAGTGCTGAGATGCAGATTTGGAGAGGAGCTAAGGTGGATGAAATGGCTTGCCAGCTCCAGACATATGGAGACACTCTCTCCTCCTCCTTCATCTCGGCTGTAAAGAAAATGACCCAAGAGTTCCAGAAATTCCAGAGCTGACCAGTATGAGAGTTTAACTGGAAGACGGGGGTATTCTCTCGGGGATGGCTCAGGCTCTGGCTCTCCCAGGATTGCGGTTTGGGTTTGGGGACTGTCTCTGCTCTGGGACTGCTGGCTGGGACAGGCTGGGTGTGGGTCAGTGGGTGGTGAGCAACTGGGCATCTGGGCATCACTCATTTGCATATTCTGTTATTACTGTTATCATCAGTATAATTTTATTTCAATTAGTAAATTGTTTTTATCTCCCCCTGTGAGTCTCCTTGCCCTTTTCCTTCCAATTCTCTCCCCTGTTCCCTGAGCAGGAGGGGAGAGAGTGAAAGAGTGACTGGGTTTGGCTGCAGCCAAAGGAGTGAAACCACCACAATAGGTTTGGCAGCGAGGAGCTGATGTGCATCATCTTGGAGGAACAAAAATTTCCAACTGTGTCCCATTTATGGTACCACACAGCTGACTGACAGGTTGGGTGCTTCCCTGCGTGTCCATGCCTCCTGCCTCCGGAGCAGATACACGCACAGGGCTGAGGCTGCTTGTGCATTATGAGACCAGCTGTAGTTACATGGCTGTATGGTGTGTTATCCTCAGGGGACCAGGAATTAATTTGTGTATCTTAAATTGCTGCCATCGAATCGGTAAGTCAGGGTGGTGGAGTAATCTGTAAAGCCTACTGGACATGTAGGCAAAGGGTGCTGTGAGTAGTGTTTCCAAATAATAACTGTCACTGCTGGGAGCTCGTGGTGGGCTCTCTGTGCTCTGAAAACAATTAATGAATAATTTATTTACTATGTAAAACTTACCTTGCTCTTTGCCCTCTGCTCTGTTTTCTTTGCTGGGTGTGCGCGAGTCAATCAGATAGCGTGGATCAATTCACTGCTGAGTAGCTCAGAGAAACCCAATGGAGGGTCTTCAGTGGCAACTCATTTGGATTCCCCGTGGAAACTAATAGCCTTTAACAACCCCAACCAGCCCCAGCTAGGACCCCTGCCCTCCCCAAGGCCAGCAGCCCCATTTCAGCCTGGGCCTTGGGCTGCTTGTTGGGTCCTGTGTTGTGGGTAGAGAGTCAGAATGAGTGATGCACTTCACTCGTAAGAGAAATGTAATACTATATTTATTGATATAAAACAGCGAATTAACAAAGTTCAAAGGTTAATTTGACATTCATTGAACAGGATTCAATGGTGAGGTTCACTTGATTATTTACTGCATAGAGGACAGGGTCAGACACAGCTGTCAGGGAGACCCTCCAGTTGAGTCAGGAGGTTCGGGAAGGACCTCCTTGCTCTCTAAACTCCTTCTCAGAGAGGAGTCTAGGTGTGGCTGGATCCAGTCCTAGTCCCAGACTTGTTCAATGGTTTATGTCTAAAGGATTATCCATGTGCAATCAATTCTTTCTATCACTTAGCTCAGATTTAAAGTTTAGCAGCTATTAGTCACTTACCAAGGATCTGTTGCGGCACAGAATCTCTCAACCTGTAGGAGTATCCTTGAGAGGTGCCTGCTCAAGGGGAGATCCTGGCTATCCCAACCAGAGAGCATCCATGATGGTCACCACTGGTGGTGATCACTTGAACAGGGTTACAGGAAATAAAGATCAGGTAGAGGGGAGGCACACAGTCCTGTTGACGCTGTCCTGCATGTCCTCTCCTTGCATGGCTCTGCAGATTGGGACCGTGTCCTGGTTTTGCTAGGGTAGAGTTAATTTTCTTTTTAGTAATTAGAAGAGCTGTATTTTCCTTTCAGTGTTTCAGTTCAGACATATCATGAGAAGAACTTTGATAACAGTACTTGTGTTGCTGTAGCTCAAGCGCGGCCAGGCTGATGCACCAACACTCTCTGGGCTCAGAGTTAAACTTTAACATGAACCAGAGGAGAAGAACCCATCCATGACTCAGCCACCACCTCCTTCCCCTCCTCCTCCCCGCTGGTGAGGGCAGCACAGCAGGACAGGGACCGGGGACGCAGCAGTAAGGACCTGCCCCAGCGATGGAGCCCACTGACCCACAGAGGAGAAGAGTCGCCGTTGTCGGGGGTGGTCTGGTAGGAGTGGGGATCTGGCTGCTCCGTGCTTGCGTTTGGCAGGGAGTTGGGGCTGTAAAAGCATTGCTGGGATGTGGGGTGATTTTTTTTTTTTTCTTAAAATCATTCCTACTTCAGATGTTCTGGAGGAGTTGGTTGAGTTCCCACTCATTTGAGCAGCTAGGACTTTGTAGGAGGAGAAAGGCTCTTT